GCCCCTGCTTATTTTTTACTCCATTGAAACAACATCACTTAAAAGGTGTTTTTGTGGTTTCCCACCTCAAAAAACCTTTGTGGTCAGAGAGCTTTTGGTACTGGGCAACACCTGATAGGTCCAGACCCCCTTTCTAATCAGTATTTATGGAAAAATCACTGCTGGTAAAGTGAAATGTAGGAGAATCTACATCCCATTTCAAACACGGTGCTGATATCTGCTGGAGAGCAGCCAGGCCTGGTTGCTCACACTGATAGATGGTGGGGAAAAGGAACACATGTTAAAATCAGCAAATGGAAAAAACTGGGCTAGAGAGAGATCAATACAATGGGGAAAGCTTTCCAATTTTTCAAGATCAGAGCCCAGGCTCCCATACTAAAGGGGGAATTTTGATCCCAAATAGGAAAGTGTTAAAAAGGAGACTGCGCACTATTTGGGAATGTATGATACAAAGCTTCTTGTCCACCATCAGGACAAATCTTACATATTCTGTAGAGCAACATACATTTAGCAGAGAAGAGGATTCTACAAAACGGATGGGTGGTGGAAATTCTGAGCCTGTCTTCCTGCAGCTTTCAAATTCTTGTCCTTGTTGACATAATTAGCAAAATTTTTCTTGGTTATATATAATTGCTTTAAACAACTTTTAAGATTAACAAACTGTATTTTGGATGTGTTGATCAATAAACAACGCTAATTTAGATTTTAAAGAGAGCTAGTTATTATTTCAGGAATCAAATTTAGATTTCTTTAGCAGAAAAGAAGGTCTCTTTGTCAAGTCTGTGCAGTCTCTGCAAGGTTTTGAAGTAATGTAGTTGTTTTACAATGCAGAGATCTTAGATTTGGAGATTATTCTGCAGAGATCCAGACTAAGGAAATTGTAGTTCAGTTGCTGATGAGGCTGTCTGCTGGCCAGCATTGCAGGATCTGGCTATGAACAGGGCATTAGATCAAACCCTTCTTATTTAATGTAGATTAAGAAAGTCTTCTTACTTCTAATCTCACTCCTGCCTCCTGCCTTGTTCTGAAATACTTGTGTGGATTTGCTCTGCTGGGGAGAAGACTTGTCAAGGTCTGTCAGGAGAGATGAGAATATATAGTTTTTCTTTTCTTTTAACATTAATCTTCCAGCTGAGTAGAATTGGCAACATGAGTAAAATTTTGCTGCTGGAGTTATTTTGTATTGATTGCATTTTTAAAGATTTTTCTATCAGGGAGGCAGACATTTTGTTATTGCTCTGTATTAATCAAAAGGGTTGAAAAACACTGCAGGCCCTACTCTGACCCTTGTGGATCAAAAAGCCAGTCGAGGTTTTAGGAATAAAAACAATCCCGGATAAAACTCTGGGTTTAGGTGTTAATAATGTAAAACTACTGCAGTTTGGCCACCTACCTCTGGCATGCTGTGTGTGGACCACGCTGTGATCACTGCAGTTGAAAAGCTATTTTTTCAGACAAAAAGGATAAATTGAAACTTTCACTGGAACACTAGAAGTGGGGTTGATCCTCAAAGAGGTTATTCCTGGGCCAGTGACCCACCTTAACATTTAGAATCATAGAATGGTTTGAGGTGGAACGGACCTAAAAATTGGTCTAGGTGCATTTAACAGTGGATTTTTCTACAGCATGGACTGCATGAGAAGCTTCCTTTCCATAAGCCCCAGAAAAGCACATCCTGATTTGTACAGCTTTAAAGGATCCCATGGCTGCCTTGATTACCAACATCTTAGCTCTGTACATTTAATTCAGTCCCAAACGCTTCTCATATATCACTAAAACCACTTAAAAGAAAGTCTCTGCTCCTAAAACCGGGCTTTTTTTAGCAGCTCAGCGGCAGTTACAAAGCTTGTAAAGCTCCTTATGAAATCTCACCTGAAAACACCGACCTGCAGCACGGTGCAGGTTTTCCCACTCCAAAGGGAAATGTGCTGCTGCCACCCAGCAGGGGTGGTGCCACAGCAGGGCCAGAGCTGAACCGCCACCAGCGCCTGGTGTCCCCTGCCAGTGTGTGCTTGTGGTTCCGCCGAGACTCCCGAGCTCTAAGCCAAAAACCAAACCAAAACAACCCCCTCTATGTGTCTTTTCACCTTCTGTGTTTAGGGAGCTGTTTCACTTTGTCTGCTTTTGATCAGAACAAATACCCAGGACTCTCTTTCAGACTTCCCAGTAGTCTCTCCCAATTGCCAGTGACTGTAATGATACAATCTTCACATTTTATTTTCCATTTGGGGTGCATGGAGACAAGTGACCCACTTTTCACTGAAAGCATGTTCAACCTTCTAGATTTCAAAATGGGTGAGAAACACACGGGGAAATTGTAAATATTTTGAGTCTTAATCAAGATTTTCAAGTTGTTTGCAATACTGCAATCCCAGTAGCATCAACATTGATACATCTGAATAAAAACTGTATTGTACAATTAATTAAGCCTTCCATCAGAAATGTTAAGCTGTGGAAAATCCTAAATATCACCCTCTTCTTTCCCTTAATATTTCAGCTTTTGGGTTGCTGCCTGCCATTCTCATATATACCCTTAGCTACAAAGGGTTAAAAGTCCTGGCATTTCTTCAGACTGGCATTTCCAAATTTCTCCTGGGGCCCATGCAGCACTTATGCCAAAATATTTTATTACTATACAAACAGAGCAAGAGGCAGAGAAGGAGAAAAAAAAAGGAAAAAAAAAAAGGAAAAAAAAAAAAAAAAGGGACGAAAAGAAAAAAAAAAAAAAAAAAAAAAAAAAAAAAAAAAAAAAAAAAAAAAAAGCCCTTTAACCGGGTCCTGCTGGCGGTGTGAGGGAAACCGCCCCAGCACCAACCCTGAACATCCCGAGGGGTATTTAAGAGCAAACCCGGGAGTTTTTTAAGGAACACTGGGGTGGGTCCCATCCGCTCTGCTCCATCTCAAATGCCCCAGAACCCCTAACCTCTCAGCGGGCCCCGCCGGCACTGAGGGACACTGAGGGACCATTGCCCTCACATCGGCACTGAGGGGCACCCACTGCCCTCATACCCGCACTGAGGGACACTGAGGGACCCACTGCCCTCACACTGGCACTGAGGGACACTGAGGGACCCACTGCCCTCACACTGGCACTGAGGGACACTGAGGGACACCCACTGCCCTCATACCCGCACTGAGGGACACTGAGGCCACCCATTGCCCTCACACCCGCACTGACGGACACCCATTGCCCTCACACCGGCACTGAGGGGCACTGAGGGACATCCATTGCCCGCACACCGGCACGGAACATCGGCACTGAGGGGCACCCACTGCCCTCATACCCGCACTGAGGGACACTGAGGCCACCCATTGCCCTCACACCCGCACTGACGGACACCCATTGCCCTCACACCGGCACTGAGGGACACTGAGGGACACCCATTGCCCTCACACCAGCACGGAGGCACCCGCCACCCTCACACCGCCACCCGGCCCCGTTCGGCCACACCCCGCCTGGCTCCGCCCCTCCCGCTCCTCCTGGCCAATCAGCGGCGGCCGCTCGGACAGACAGCCAATCGCCGAGCGTTGCTATCTGTGGGGTGTATTTTTAGCCGCCGGGCGCGGCGAAGGGAGGGGGGGTGCCGGCGGTCGTCCCGTGTCCCCTCAGGAAGGAGCCGGCCCGGCTTGCCTCAGAGCCTGAGGGGTGCCAGCTGTGCAGGCGGCCCCGCCAGCCCCGCACCGCCGCTGCCGAGGCCCCCACAGCCCGCGGTGGTCATGGGAGATGTAGTTCAGGCTCCCCCCCTCCCTACTCCGCGGGGTGAGGGGCGCAAGGACAGGGTTTGACGTCGGCAGTGACGCAACGGGGTTGCGAGGCGAGCAGCGCGTTGACGTCAGAGCGGCCCCGCGCGCCGCACCGGGGGGGAGAGGAGGCGGCGGGGCGCCCCGGGCGGGGGGCGGAGCCTCGGCGGTTGGGGGCGGGGCCAGCCTGACTGCCTTCAGTGGAGGGTGGGGCTTGGGCGGGGCGGCCGCGCGGGACGTGGGCAAGGGGCGGGGCCGTGGGCGGGGCGAGGGAGGGTATAAGTAGGGGCGCGGCGGGCGGCGGAGCAGAAGCTGAGGGCTTGCGGCTGCGGCGGCCGGGCGCGCTGGCGGTGGGGGCGTGAGCAGCACTGCCCTCCCCCCCTTTTTTCTTCTCTGTTCTCTTCCCCTCCCATCCTCGCCGAGGGAGCCGGCGCTCGGAGATGGGGATCGGGTGCTGAGCCGCCGCCCCCGCCTTCACACCCCCGCCGGGCCTGTTTGCACTACCCCCGCAGCCCTGGGTGAGTACCGGCCGGGCGGGGGGGTTGAGGCAGCGCCGGGCCGCGGCTCCGGGGCGGGGTGTGCTGAGGCGGTCACGGCCCGGCGGTGCGGGGGGACGCGGTGGGTGCAGGGCTCCCCTCGGGGAAGGGGCCGTGAGGGGCCGCTCCCCCTGGGCTGCCCCAGCCGCGCTCGGGCGGGGAGCAGGCGGTGCCGGCTCGGTGATGGGCGCTGGGCCGCTCCGGCAGCGCCCTGCGGGACCTGCCCGGCTGTGCGCCGGCAGAGCGGCCCTGCAGCCCCGCCTGCCCTCCAGATACCCCCCTTCCCCTTCCTCCTCCGCTTTCTTGCGGGCTCACAAAACGCTCTTCCTCCTCGCGCTGCCGCCGGAGCTCCAGGGCTGTGAGCAGAAATCTAATGAGAGCCGACTGCCTGGTTATGTAACTCCCGCTGCTGGAGGCTCCTGCCAGGGCGCTGCTGCTGGGCCACGTATGGGCTCGGGTCCCCCAGAAACGCTGCCCTCCTCTCATAAATACAGAAAAAGAACAAGCTGGAAATTATCGAGCCGGTGTGTTTGATCAGCTGCTTTTGCACCCTGGATCCGTTTCGCATAGAGAAATTTACAGCGTCAGCCTGGTGCGCTCTGAAAGGAACATTCCTTTCTTAAAGGACATGGGGGAAGGGAAACAGCGCAGATGGATTAATAAATCATTTTTAAATGCCCCGTTTAACCACCCAATCAGCTTTTCGGTACTGATTGTGCCCCTTTTGTAAATATCTTCTGTTTGCCCTTGATCTTTTCCTTATCCCCACCCGGTGCTGATCCAGCAAACGTTTAAAGGTCGCCTTATCAGACATGTAGCCTTTCAAACTATTCCCATACCATGTTGGGGAGAACACGAATGGCTTGGAAATAGGGTTCCAGACTTTAAAAGGAGATTATTTGAAGCAAGAAATAAAAAAGCCGTGTAGTCACATTGTTAATGTCAAAATCCTTTAACTTTGATTTCTCTAATCTTTAGCGACAGCTATGCTAAATTTTGTTCTTAGTGATGCAGTGCAGAAAAGCCCACAGTTAATTGAAATTCTCTTTGGGCTTTTAACTTGATGCAAAAACAATCCCCATATTTTGTTTTATTGGATCTTTTTGACAAAGGTGTGTGGGGTGTGTGTGTGTGTTTATACCCAGGTACTGCAGGATTTGTGTTAGCAGTTTGTGTGCCAATGCCAGATTCTCGTCCTTTCTCTAACTAGACAGCTAAATTTCTCTTTTGTCCTTTGTGAAGGAGTGACAACCATATCTTACATTAAATATAAAATGGAGTCCTGGAGAAGGAGAAAGGCAATCCAGTTTGAGGCTGTCAAAAGCCCTGTTAGCCCAGGAACTTTTTGAAACCTGAGTTACAGACGGTGCGATACAATAATTGAGTATATAATTGCATCTTGCGTCTGAAAACAGAGAATAATTTGTAGAAAGAGAAGAAACTGTGAATTAATTATCAGTCTTGGCCACCCTTCTGACAGAACATACGGGCAGCTATTATGTATGTGCTGACTGCATTTCAGTGTGAGCTCTGGATGTGCACAGCAGACATTTTCTCCTCAGTTTGCATCATTTCACCCGCACATAGTAGAGGGAGATTTGCTTGGACTTAAAAATAAATGTTGCATCATTTTAGCTATTTGTAAGAAACTATCTAAAGCAACTGTTAAGATTATTATATTTCTGCAGCCTACAGTTGCAGGCAATATGTTTCTAGATTTCAAAGTGATAAATGACCCTTGGACTAAGACCTTTCAGGCTAAACTAATGGTCTGGTACTAAATTTTGCAGCTGAGTACTATAAATCATCCAAATACAGGTTGATAATTGAACCATTGACACGCTTGGCAGTTCTGTGATGTCTTCAAAATGATCCTTGCTGCTTTGTGAATAACTAAACACCCAGCTCACGTGATTTGGAAGTGCCTCATGCTGCATATGTAAACACAGGCCCATCCTCTCCAGTGTTGTTTGTAAGTCACGCTGAGTGGAACTGACATCCTCACCTTCTGCAGGCAGCAACAGAAATAGTTTAATGCACATTTTTTCACGTAATAAGTAACCTATTTTCTGCAGAAAGTGGAGCCAAAAGAATAGGCCTCAGAGCTTGATCTTACGCTGTTCTTATTTGATGTGTTTGCTTTTCTCTTTTCTTAAAGGAACAAGAGCACTCAAGGTGAAGGATAATAATCAACTTGAATCAGCATTTTCAATGAAATTTTGTTTCCCTGTGGCATCTTGAACACTTTCTTCTTCGGGTTTTGAAACAGACTTATAACTCTGTGGCACAGCAGCTATGCAGCTTGAAATCCAAGTAGCACTCAATTTTATTATTTCATATTTGTACAATAAGCTTCCCAGACGACGTGTCAACATTTTTGGTGAAGAGCTTGAAAGACTTCTGAAAAAGAAGTATGAAGGGCACTGGTATCCAGAAAAGCCATACAAAGGATCAGGGTTTAGATGTATTCATATAGGGGAGAAAGTGGACCCAGTCATAGAGCAAGCATCCAAAGAGAGTGGTTTGGACATTGATGATGTTCGCGGCAACTTGCCTCAGGATCTTAGTGTTTGGATTGACCCGTTTGAGGTTTCATACCAAATCGGTGAAAAGGGACCAGTGAAAGTGCTTTATGTGGATGATAATGAAAATGGATGTGAGTTGGATAAGGAAATCAAGAACAGCTTTAACCCTGAGGCCCAGGTGTTCATGCCTATTAGTGACCCAGCATCTTCAGTGTCCAGTTCTCCTTCTCCTCCCTTTGGTCACTCAGCTGCTGTGAGCCCGACCTTCATGCCCCGCTCTACTCAGCCTTTAACCTTCACCACTGCCACATTTGCTGCCACCAAGTTTGGCTCAACCAAAATGAAGAATAGCGGCCGTGGCAACAAGGTCGCCCGCACCTCTCCCACAAACCTGGGCTTGAATGTCAATGACCTGCTGAAGCAGAAATCCCTCTCCTCCTCCATGCACTCTCTCTATGGGCTCGGCCTAGGCAGTCAGCAACAGCAACAGCAGAAGACTTCTGCTCTCTCTCCTAATGCAAAGGAGTTCATTTTCCCCAACGTGCAGGGTCAAGGTAGTACCAGTAGCATCTTTCCTGGTGACAGCCCCCTTAACCTCAGTCCTCTCCAGTACAGTAATGCCTTTGATATGTTTGCAGCCTATGGAGGTCTAAATGAGAAGTCTTTTGTGGATGGCTTGAATTTTAGTTTAAACAACATGCAGTATTCTAACCAGCAATTCCAGCCAGTTATGGCTAACTGAAAATAAACTGAAAGTGAAATCCAAGTAAATACTATTGTACAAGTTGAAGTGCACGTACCCAAGGGTGTATCTTTTTTCCCACCTCTTGAGATTTTTTTTAAGGCTTGTAGTATGAATACATTCAGGCTTGGTTAGATAAATACAACATGCATCATTTTTTCATTTGCCAACCAAGCACAAAATTATTTTATACTGACTGTACATTACAAAAATATACTCTCAAAAATATGGCCTCTTACAGTATTTAAGATATAGCAAGGAAGTGGCTAATTTTTTCATGTGTATATATATGTGTGCTCAGACATATATGTATATGTATTAAAAAATTGGCACTAATAGGTGGGTTTATTGGTCTTTTTCTAATTGTATAATTTAATTTAGTACAAAGTTTGTAAAATATCAGAGTATATATATTGTTTCTACAACATGGTATTGCATTTATATCTTTTTACTACAGTGATCTGTGACAGCTGCAGCAGCTTCATGTTGTATTTTTTTTACTGAAATTGTAAGATATCCATCTTAAAGACATCAATTCTAAAAAAAGTAAAAAAGTTGTGTACAGAATATTCCTTAGTGGTGGAATTAAAATAATATTTGCTTTTTTCAAAAGAAACACAAATTGTATTTTCTGTTAAAAGTTTAAAGATTTTTGCTATATATTATGGAAGAAAATGTAATCGTAAATATTAATTTTGTACCTACATTGTGCAATACTTGAAAAAAGGTATAAAAGTATTTTGAGTCAGTGTCTTACATGTTAAGAGGGACTGAAATAGTTTATATTAAGTTTGTATTAAAATTCTTTAAAATTACTCGGCTGTGTGTGTTCTTTGTGTCCTGCTCCCAGTCTGAGCGCTGCGTTCCTTGTGCTGGCACTGCCGGGGATGCACCAGGGTCTGACTCAGGAGCAAAGGGAAGGATTGCTCTATGGCTGCTCCTCATGAGGGGTTCCTTATCCAGTATCCCCCTGACAGAGCACATAACCCCAGCAGGAGCTTGCCTGAAATTATTTGAAAAAATCCCACTTGTTTTTCATAACTGCAGCTCACTGAAGCCAAAGTGGAATTGTATTTTTTTCCTTGATAATTAAGACTGTTAAGCTCTGTGAACATTGAGTTATGGGGTTGTGGGATGTGTCTAGCAGGGACTCAGGTGATTCAGTAACATTTCCTTTCCATGTCACTGGGATTATTGGAACTATTCTCTCGGGAGGTCCTAGAGCAGCAAATCAGCACTCTGCCTCTGTATTAGGGATTAATAGCTCAGAAACTGAACTGAATAAAAGTGCTGATTTACAGCTTACTAAATCCATTGTAAACTTGCTTTTTATATGCTCTATTAAAAAGAGAAATGTAATGCAACTACACTGTGACATTCTAAGGCATTTATTTTAGCAGATTTTACCAATTTTAACTGAATAGATTCTCAAAATCAAATGGGGAGTGGGAGGGGAAAGCGTTCAGAGGCTGACAGAACAACTCAGTTTTTCCAGGTCAATTTTGAAGTCGAATCCTTTACTCTTTTCCACCTGCTCAGCAAACAGTGTTCCTTGCTAATGGACAATGTCAAGGGGAAGAGAAACTGCATTAATGTGTAAATCTGACAAAGGCCAGTTTGTGTTCCATGGCAGCTCCAGCCACACAGAGACCCAGTGCTGAGTGGGTAGTCCTTGGCTCTTGGCAGTAAGTTGTGAACAACAGACAGAGCACAGGCTTAAAACAACCTGACTTCAGTGTTCTGACACTGGAATTTGAGACCAAAGGTCATTCTTGTCCTGTTGGATGCACTTGATGTGACAAGAGGTGCAACTCCATGCACGCCCTGTCTGTGGTGGGAGTGGAGCTGGGTGGCAGCAGCCTGTGCTTTTCACACCAGTGTGGACTCCCTGCTTTGGGAAGAGCTGCCTGGGCAGAGGTGGGAGGCTGACAGTGGTATCCATTTCCAGTGTCATGACAACCAGCTCAAAGGCAATAATGGAGTGAAGGGTTTTTTTCAGCGTTCATCTGTCTCTGTTTAACTGGCTTCCTTTTATTGAGTTTGCCATCTGGTTTATCTTTCCACTCACAGCACAGCTGCGGACAGCGCCGGCCTTAAAAGTGCATCATTTGGTACCTCATATTAAGTGGATGATTTTGCTTTTAAGAGGAATTAGAAAAATGCTGGATCAGTTGCTGGAAAACAGAATGCCAGCTCTGTGTATTATTCCTGTTTTAATGCCTAGACTTTAAGATTTACTACTGTTTTACTATTTACAGCACGATACTAATATCTAAACTGCCCAAGAGGCTGAGCAGCTCTGACAGTGGAGAGTCTTCATGTGTTCTGTAATATTTCTATTCCTGTGATTTAAACTGAGATCATTTGTTTAAAGGTCAGTGAGCTTATCCTTTTCCCAGGCTGATTTTTTTCCTTTCCACTGCAACCAGCTCCGTGTCTGAAGGGCCATGCAAGGAAAAATCTTCTGGAACACACATTTTTGCAGCACCTTTCAATATAAAGATTTGACAAGTGGGGTTTGGTTCTGGTGCTTTGAAAGGAGACAAGTCAAAAAGAGAACTTCAAGTTCTCTCAATGCAAGTGTGGAGATTTTTGTTTTAATGATTTTTAACCTTTAAGCATGAATGATTTTTTAATCTTCTTAGAGGAATGAGAGATGCCTGCTTTGTGTTCAGTCTGCTTCACCCAGATATTTATCTTCTGCTGAGGTTCCGTGCTGAATTTCTGAGACCAAACATTCACGTTGTAACATTCTGTTCTCAGCGAGTGCCAGGTCAGTCGCTGGGGTCATTTGTGCACACCCAGTATTCAGCTGTCAGGTAAATGCACTTGCTTGGATCAAAAGGCCATAAAAACAGGGCAAAGGAAGCATTTGCTCAGGTGTGCAAATTCTTTTGTATTTTCTCACGTGAACACGCAGTTTGCCTCCATGGAATTGCCAGTGTGAGTTAAACCTTGGAAGGTGACTTTAATTTACAGTGAAGGAAAGGGTAGAAATATATGTGACCCCCTCAGTGCTGCTTAGTGCCTCCTATCAATTCAACCCAGGTCCCCCCAAGCACAAGGTAAAGGTGCTCTGGTCTGTAAGGCTCCCTTAATTCAGCACTAGTCAATGAATTTTTGAAATTGCAGTATAGGATGCCTGAAGCTGCTCAGAGGCTCCAGTATGGTTGCACAGAAAGTTCAGGGGACAACTGCAGTCTGTGCTGTGTTCATTCTGTGGGTAGGGAACAGACCTCTCTTGATCAGGAGTCTGGTAATGACCACCAGAATGAAACTGCTCTGGTTATTTCTGCCTGGGAAGCTGAATAGTGGGTGGAGATCACAGAGTAGTGCTCCTTTGTTGTGTCCTGCTCTCCAGGGTCCCTGGAGATGAGTCCAGGGCCTGGCACTGCAGGTCCATGGGTACAAGTTCTGCAGTTCTCAATTTCTGCTCTGGTAATTCATGCACATTGAGGATGGGGCTCTGAGCCACCTGATTTAATTGAAGCTGTCTCTGCTCGTTGCAGGGAGTTGGACTAGGTGAGCTATCAAGGTCCCTTCGAACCCAAACCATTCTATGGCTCTATGAGCTATGGAAGGATCATCCTTTTTGATGATGAAAATTAGAAAGCTGCTGAACATTGCTTGTAGAATCTCCTGGTGCACAGCCAGGACAGAGGATCCCCCAGTGCTGCACTCTCTGCTCCCACCGCATCCCAACCTGCAAAATCCTGGTGGGAGCAAAAAGCCCAGCTACATTCTGAACTATCAAGTAACCAAACAACGAGTTGTTAAATCAGCTCTTTGGACTGACATGGGATCAAAGCAGAGTTCATGTACTGATCTGATGCCCCAGACTGTTCTATTAACATTTCAGGAATAAATACCTCAGGGTTTGTGTTGGTAGTTTTGGAGCAGATGAAGCAAACCGGTGGTTCAGCACTCTTTTTTATATCATCAGCAAGTTGATTTAAATTGAGTGTACAGAGTTGGCTGCATTCCCCTCTTGAGTTGCATAAAAAGTTTGCTAAATTGAAGTGCCAGAGCTGTAAAATCCTGCTGAAGAGACTGTTTCCAAAGATCAGTGAGAGGAACTGTTAAACTGTTATCGTGGCAGTGCCTGTGTGACTTTTGTCCTCTTGGCTTTATTTTAGTGACAGTAGTAAGGAGTTTTGCCTTACAGAAGGGAAAAAGCATTAAGACTCAGAAACATAAACTACATCCCCTTTGGAACTATGAGTTCTCTATGTCATAGACAAAATATGATCAGTGTGTGGAACAAATGGCAGGTGTACAATATTTTTAGAAAAACCTTGGTGTGCAGTTGCAGACATCCCTCAACCTCCATCCTTTATTCTGTCAGCTTTGGTTTGTTATAAACAACCTGTGCTATCGATGGCTGCAGTTTTGGTGGAACTTGCTGTAGTTTGCATTTGGTGATTTAGCACTTCAGAGGCTTGAAATCAGAGCTCCTTTGCTCTGAGTTTTGGGACACTCTTACATTTGCACAGCCTGTCAGCCATGGAGCTCGTTGTGCTACATTCCCCTGTCCCCTTGGCTTCAGGATTACCAAAAGCATAAAAGAAAAGAGGACTCTGGGAATGCATAGCCTTAATTATTGTTGTTTAGTGCCCCTGTGAGCTTCTCTGAGAATTTTTTATCAGCCGGCTAATGCCTTTAAAACCAGGCCTGGAAATCCACCTTCTTTCCTTTGCAGAACGTATCCATTCCCTACTACACCCATAACCACAGCTTTCCTGCCTCCCACAGCATCCTCATCTCGGCATTGCTAAACCATCCTCAGTAGGACTGAGTTCTGTGCTGCTCCCTTTGCTCACCACCTCTTGCTACTTGCTGTGCTGCTCCAGGCTTTCCTGCTGCTCCTCTCTTCACCCCAACTCCACTTCTCCTGAGCTCAGCTCTGAGCTGTGTGGTGCTGGAGCTGCCAGGGGAGACACCTCATGCAAGGCTTCAGCCAGAGAGATGCCCTCTCCCAGCACCTCCTGGCCTCGGGCTTTGCTTGGCTTCACTTCAGAGATGCAGTGTCAGGAGCTTGGGAATGTCAGGGCACAGGGAAGGGTTGCAGGAGGTGCTCTCAGTCCCAGGGAATGGGGTGGATTTGCTGCTTGGGCAGCCTCAGTAATGCAGCAATGCAACAGTCCAGGCGTTTAGAGCCACGCTGATGGAAGCCAGAGGTGGCAGGTTAGAGAGAAGCATGGTGCCATAGATGATAGCTCAGGTACCCCACAGCTCAGAGCTGACTCTGGGCAAGCCATTGCCCTTTTCTGTGTTGTTTCCACCTCTGTCTCCATTGGAATCCACTGCCAGTGTCAGTCTTTCCTTGGCTGTTTGCTGTAAAGAACTTCATCCAGTTTTCTGTGCCACAAGAGCAAGCTCTGAGGCTGACCTGCAACTCCCTCCTTTTATTGCGTTTAGTCTCTGTGGCCTTGGAGTGCCTCCTTTGTTGCTCAGTTCTCTTAACCTGGGTGAGGTAACCTTTGTGTTTTGAACAAGACATGCCTATAAAAGTGAGGCACTGGGTTCTCATTGTCCATGGCACGTAGAGTCTGATTCACCCTCATCACAGCAGAAGGCTTCTGGAGCACTGGAATCTCACACACTCATTATTGTGATTCTGTACAAGACTGTCTGTGGATGTTTATATATACATGAAAGTATATATTCCATCAGTACAAATCGTGAAAATTTTGCAACTGAAGTTGTTGCCCGTCAAAATTAGATTTGCAGACAGATTTTACAAATGAAAATAAATTCCCCTTTGATTTTCATTAGTCCCTGATGCAACACATCCCACATGCCAGCACAGAGCAGG